CGTATGGATCATCTGCTTGCCAATTTCGTCTCCATATCCTGCTGTTAGTGAGCTCAGTTCTTCGTCTGTGGGAGTCTGCACTCAGCCAATCTTGTGCAAAGAATGCACAAGGTGCCATGCTAGGATAGATTTCGGTTTCACCAGTTTCACCCGGGCCATGCATGTCTGTGGATAGTGACCTTTGATGACTGTTCTATCCATTCCATTTTGCACTTTGCACGCCCCCCAAGAAGAAGTTGGAATGCAGGCCACAGTGGAGGCTTAATTCCATTTCGCTTGTCACGTTAGAGCTTGAGTGCTTCACTGTTTTCCACGGCCACCTGCAACATTCGTGCTTCCTCTCGACATTCGTGCACTAGCTTAGCAGTAGACCAACAGGGTAGCCTACAACTGCTATATAGCTACCCAAGGACCATGACAAACTCACGAGCTCTTCTTTAAATAGTGCTCACTACACAGGCCTGCCACAACAGGCCTTCTGCCTCCCTCGGTTTTGACTGCAAGCTATTACATTGCGCCATTCGAATTTTTTGCCATAATTAATTGCCCAACAACAACATCATAGTTGTGTCACCGTTTCACCTTTGGTCTCACCTTGCATGTGCAAAGTTGAATCTCCTCTCTTTCTCGTTCGTGGTTTGTTGCGGGTTTTTTGGGTTGTTGTTGTTGTTGTGGTTTGGATTGTTTCGTGTTGCTTGTTGTTTTCTACTTACAGGAAATTCACCCAAAGCAGCATAAGCTGACCTGTGCATTTCCTGCACGTACGGCGGCTCCACTCGTGCAAAAAGAATGCTGCTGCTGCTGCTACTGCTTATGCTGCTGGTTTGTGGTCTGCTGCTGCTTTGGGGGGTTGTTGCAGCTGCCGCTGACCTTCGATTGCTCACCAACCTTTCGTCCATCACCCTTTTCTCAAGTCCATTTGTTCATGCGTCACGTGATTTGTGTCACCTTCATCCACGATGCAGTCCCACGTTTCCATGTTGTTGATTAATGTCGGGAACAACTGAGCCATTTCCAAGAGTTGGGAACCACAACAGACAGTTCATTCTATTGAAGCCCGTCATATTTTTTGGGTGTTCGTGTGCTTGAACGGAACAACTGTTTGTTGATAGAAGGTTTCTTGGACATCAAGCGCTGACAGTGCTAGTTTTTTGTTTGACTGAAGTTGATTTTGGCCAGTTTCAGTGGGCCAAATGACTTGGGTTTGTGCTAAATATCGTTGTGCTTTGAACTTTCACTGTGTGGGTTTGAAAAGTGTCATTGCAATTCATTAGTTTTTGTTTTTTTGCTGCCTAAGTGTTCAATACTATTACTATTGGTCCCTGACATTTTGACTGCCATCATTGCGCCGCCCGACACAACAGGAACAAAGTTGGTTTTGCATTTGTATATATATATAAGTGTGTTTCACGCTCACATCAAATTTGTGAAGCAGGTGTAGCGATGAAATTGGACAGTGGCTTGCGTTTTTTGAAGCGGCTTCAATGTCAAACATTCTTTTTCAGATTCCCATGGCCGTGCATTTTAGGCTCATCCAATGTCCAAAGCATTCCGGGCGTTTTCGCCTGGCTGATGCCTGAGATCGATATATGGTGCATGTTTGGAACGGTGCCAAAACTTTCAAACGACTGACCCAATCGACAAAACAATGTGACGTGATTGAATTTTCATTAAAGTGTTAAAAACAATCGTTACATATATATATATATATATTTGTGTGAACACTGCCCATTTCCACATGCATTGGTTGTCAGCAAATGTGACATCTGCCGTTTGTGATGCCGGGTGATGGTGGAACTGCCGCTATCCTTCATTTGGGCGATGGTGAAAGCAACCAAAGGAGGGAAAAAAAGGAACTTGTGGCACAGAAGTTCTGTACCACCATGAGATGTGGGGCAGTTATACCAGCAGGAGAAATCTTTGGCTTGGCCATGAATTTGTCGACGAGGCTGTTTCTTTGACATTTGCAGTGTGATTTTTCCCTGAAACATCACACGCAAAACTTGCAGACCGATGTGGAATTGCAGGAGACTGCAGGGCATGTGAGAAGTGTAGTGCTGGCGGCTGGAGTCATGGCTCTCATGCAGGCAAAGATTTTTTTACAGGAAATTGTTGAAATAGAAAGAAAAAACGAAACAAAACGAAAGAGCCGAAACGAAGGACAAAAAGAACGAAAAAGAGGATCCAAAGGTCGAAAAAAACTGCAAAAACCGATGTCGTGAGCTGGGACAATGTTGTGAGCGTGGAATTGGCTGTGAGGTCGTGGGGCGGCAGATACGTCAAACAATCTGAGACCAACAACGTTTGGTTCATTCAGAAAAGACGCAACGAATCAGTAACTAGAGCATTAAACAACTATAGAGACTAGTGACTCGATCGAATAGACGAACATTAACATGCAACTTTAGCAACTTGAACTTATAAATTGTTCCAGGTACTGACACTTCTGATGGCAGTATCCACCGGTCGGAATTTGCAGGGGGCGTTTGAGTCTGAGGTGGTCTTTCACAGAAGATTTTGGTGGAGATGTTTGCGGTTTTCTTCCAATGTCTTTCATGAAGAACAACAGACATTTTCTGGGGGGCGTGAGGTTTGTCAACTTCCTGCTTGGCATGATCTTGCCTGGCTGTGGGTACACTGCCTTGTTGTCGGAGCTGAGCTTTAGGATCACAGCAGCACAGCCAGGTACTTTGGTGCCACGAAAAGCAGCTCGCAGCTGATGTGTTGCTTTTCCTGCACAAGCCTTGTTCAACCCCCAGAGACATGCAGACTGCAGACTTGGCCGGATTTGCACAAGTATGTCTATTGTCTATTTCTGTACACACATTGGATACGGTGGCTGAGTTGTTTGCCATTTCGCAAGCGCTGGTTATGGCCAACGTGCTGTTGGCGGTTTGGATCATCAGCGAGAACGAGGAGGCAGAACAAAGGACACTTCTGCAGCAAAAGGACTCACTGAATGCATGGACTCACTGAATGCATTTTGCAGTACAGAGTGATTTCTTGCAACTGGAGGTTCTATGTGAAGCTGTGTGTGCTGTGATTGGCTGCAACAACCACAGTGCATTGTGCTCTTGTGAGATAGGCAAAGTTCATGTTTCTGTCATGATGGTCGCGTTAGACTCAGACAAAGTTTGCTTCTTGGATCACAGGATAGGCACTTTTCCGTTTCATTTTGAAAGGCTGTGGTGAGAAGTGCTGCGGCGACTTTCTGGAGGCGATAGTTTATTTTGCTGTTGCTTTCAGTCCTCCTAGGTTCGCTGGGAGGTTCCTCGTGGTAGGAGGTCACGGCATGGAAGGTTATATGGTTGGATGGGATCAAGCGCATCAATACATCGTGATTCTTGTGGGTTGTGTGCTTGTAAAGCAAAGCCTTTGTCCTTTGGCTTGCTCAAATCCACACTTTTTCGTGTTGAGGTGTGCCACAATGGCAATCAGCTGACCTCACCATTGGGCTGCAAAAGCCTGGAATCCACCGTGACCGTCAGCACCCACGTGGCAACCGTGGTGACCTGGATTTGTTTTGTGCATTGGAATAAGGAGACACTCCCACCAATTAGTTTAGTTTAGTGTTGTTTTTGCTCTTTCCAGGAATCTTTGAACTTTCCGGGTGTTAGAATATAGTAGAACCAACATGAAACAAACACTGTTTTCGTTATTAATTATGCATGTGTTCACAAGAAGCCCTCCACTTTCTGAGGTCATTCTGATCATATCTCCGCTGGTGATCGGGTTGAGTGTACTTTGGCAGACATAAACTTTGATCAATGTATCGTTGCAAATCTGCAGAGAATCAGGTGTTGATTCTTGTTTTGCCAAACCTGTGGAATCCTTGAACGAATCAACTGTCAAAGGTCTATGCGTGGCATCACGGCACCAAGCTTTGGGCAAGATTGTCGCAAGGCACTGCAGCACATATTTGAGTGCAGTGACATGCAACTATATACTTTCCTTGGAGGTGATGAGCTTCTGGTTCAACGACATCTTGCCGAGGCCAAGACAGGTAGCATTACATGTTGAGAAAGGCGATGTTCATCCCGTCAGGCGGTCGAATAGCTGTCCAAAGTGACGCTGAGTGAGAGGACAATGCTGCACTGGATACCACTGGATCGTGGATTTCGGCTCCCTTTGGAGCGCTGCTCATGGTCGCCGTGAAAATGGGATTGTGGCCGTGTTGTCACAGTGCTTATGCTTGTGCCTGGACTTCTTGTCAGATGATCAACAATGCCTTCTCCGTTTGCTGCAGTGCTCTGACTTTGCCTTATGTTGCTTATGTCAGATGACCAAAGGTTCAGACCTGCAAATGCACTACAACCAAAGAATCATGCAAAAAGCAGGGTTTCACCTAGTTAGAGCTCAGAACTGCGGGAGGTAATCCGCAACGTGACAAATCAATGCAACTTTGACAGCTTGGCATTTGCAGACTTGGATTCCTTCATATGGTTCCACAGCTGGAGCGCTCATTACAGCTACAGGATGAAATCATCCAGGTGCGCTGATAACGAGCAAGCCACCCTCAGCATTCCATTCCTGGGCTTTGCTGAAATCCATGTGGCAGGCATACCAGCAGAAAGCTCCTGAGTTGAGACGGTTTGCCCAGAAAATCAAGGCTGGTGCTTTTGAAAAACCTGCAGCCACAAGATGCGATTGCCACGGAGTGCAAAAGATCAGACCCAAGTGGACACGGGCATTTTTTCCTTTCCAAGTCCTTTCGCACTTCCAAAACGTTTCAATTATTTTGTGCTGCCCTGCCACACGAAACGACTGTAGAAGAGCTTCAAATGCGACCGGAATGTATGTGAATGTAAAGACACCAGTACGCATGAGGCTAGTAAACGTTCTTCCTTCGGACAAAAAGCGGATGACACCTGTTTGTTGGGCCAGCGCTCCGATTTTAAGACTCAACTTTGAAGCAGAAGATTGAGACTATTTGGACAAAATGGTGTCATTCTTTCGAGTACATCTTGGAAAGATGATTGTTCCCTGTTCCCCGGTAAAACATGTGGTGCAAGGCAGGAGGCAGCGTCGCTGCTTTGCAAGCTGCAGAAGAACGGGAAGCATTCCTTCTGGAGCTGCAAAAGCCATTGGTGGCAAGGCAGCCCTTTTTGTGGTGTAACTGTTTCTGTGATCTGTAGCTTGAGGCCTGAAGCGAGCCCAAAGTCTGTTTCGGACGTCACGTTCGGCAAAGAGCCTTTGAAGGTATGGCTTTGAGGAGTCTGCAAAGGGCGTGCGGGATGCCATGGTTGAGTACGCTGACATTGCCGAGAACAACTTGGTCAAAAGCTCAGGCGATTTCCTTCAGATAACAGGTGTGATTGGACATCCTGAGGTGACGAAGCGCCACAACCATATGGAGAGGCTTCTCGCTGGGGGAGAGGCGTGGTGTAGCATACATCAGTAGTTTTTCTTTGTCAAGATTTATCAAGGACATCGACCTTTACCTTGGAGTGCCGGCACAGCAGGCCTCGACCTTGGCAAGATCCAATGGGCGGTTTCAGGAAGCACCGCATTTTTCAGGCCATCCGGAACTTCGGCACTAGGCGACCAGCGCCTCCTAGCCAATTCCCCTTGGTTGCACGGGAGGAGACCGGAATGTGTGAGGTACCGATACCATGAAAGTTTTTCTTTGACAAGCTTTTCTACAAGTGCCGGAGGAGGTTTTAGTCGGACTTGCCAGGGCAGTTGCCAATTCTCAAACATTCATGCAGGACTTTGAAAAGAGCTTTGAAGGCCGGCGCCTGCCGGTGCCGCGGAAAGACATGCTGGCTGCCAACACCACTGAGGCCTTTGGATAGGGCAAAACGCCTTTTTTTGGTGGATTAAGAGCTTGCTTTGCCGCCGAAGGTGCGCTCATAGAAAGGAAAACTATCATGCTCCTCTTTCCGCTGTGCGAATGATAATAATCGCTGAACTGGTAGCTTTGCAACGTCAACACTAGATAGGAGTGGAACCTGCAAGTATTGGTAGCCACTGAACTCATGTAAAACATGTATATGATGAATAAGTTCTCTTTTCTCTTTGCGTTGCTGTGGCTGATGAGAAGGACAAACACGCAATGAGACATCTTGAGCTTTGCTTGTTGGGGACGGAAGCAAAAAAATAACACCTGATTCAACCACAACCATTTCTGATATTAGGGGAAGATCGCAGAAATTTGGGATGGCCAGGAGCTGGCGGCCGCCTGCAAGCGAGGAGACACCCTTAGAGCTGAGGCGCTACTTGGCCAGGCCGAGTGCAAGTGGTTCTATGGTGCCAGTAACATTGCCTCCATGACAAGTCGTAAGATGTCTTACGAATCATTGCACCAGTCTTTTGGACATGAGTCCAGATATCGAGCTTTGGTATTGCAGCCAATTTTGGCTCCATGTGGAGGGCCTGGTGCCGGTGTCTAGATGGGACCCGGGCAGACATCGATTCAAGTGCTGCGATCAAGCCGATCCAGCCAATCGCTCGCCAACGGAGTCAACGGAGTCAGCGGAGCTTCGATGCTGGTCGCTCCAAGCATCTCCTATGCACCGCTTGGTGGCGGTGATGCCGCAGCTGGTCCCCTCCTCCGCGCTCGAGGTCCATCTGGTCCATCTACGACGGTAGTGACCGTGAAGAAGCCAATTCCAGTCACATCTGCGAGCGTGACAACCGCTTGCAGTGTGGCCAATGTCACTTCAGTCACTTCCAGTGTTGTATCCGGTGCTTCCGGTGGATCAAGTCCCATCCGCCGAGCTGGGGCCAATCCTGCTGCAACGCTGATTTCAGTGCCGGCTGCTGCAGGAGACACAGCTGGAACTGGTGCACGAGTGGTGAAGGTGGGAAATGTTGGAACTCCTGTTGCTGCCTCAAAGGCTCGGATGGCTTCTGCGTCTTCAAGATTGGCACAAGGAGGTCAAGCTTCAGCGCAACTCAGGGCAGTCTCTTTGGAGTATTCACACTCAGACTTGACAGCAGCCACAGACAATTGGAGCCATTCCAAAAGGTTAGGATCTGGCAAGCACGGAGCTGTATACAAGGCTGAGTTGAAAGATGGATCTCAAGTGGCCGTGAAGGCCATCGACTTGGCTGCTGTGACTCGAGCTGGGGATTCTCCTCAAGATGCCGGTTTTGATGAGGAGGTACTGATGTTGAGCAAGTTTCGACATCCCAACTTAGTGACGCTCCTGGGCTGGGGCAGCCACGGAGATTTCCGGTACTTAGTCTACGAGCTGCTGGCTGGTGGTGATCTTTTCCGAAGGCTTCACAAAAGCCGATCCTCCAATCCCAAGCCATTCCTGTGGTATGACCGTGTCTCCGTGTGCCTGGACGCTGCCAGCGGTTTGTCACACCTCCATAACTCCAACCCAAAGGCCTTTCATCGAGACATCAAGTCGGCCAACATTTTGATGGATCGCCATGGCACAGCAAAGCTTGCAGACTTTGGGTTGAGCTGCTGCTCGAGCTATGCAGGTGCCAACCATGTAGATGTGCGCTTTGCCTCGGGGACGCCTGGATATCGATGTCCAGTGTATGAGCGCACTGGCCGGGTGAGCGAGGCAAGCGAGGCCTATTCCTTTTGCATGGTGATGCTGGAAGTCCTGTTGGGCCTTGACCCCTCTGCAACCAACTCAAAAGCACCAAGTGGCCTCACTTATCCCATCCAAGAGGCAGTCTCACCAGGAACTCCTGGGGCTGAGGAGAGATGTTTACAAGCCCTTGACCAAACAGCAGGGCCATGGCCGTTGGAGTTGGCTCAGGAAATTGCTCGGCTAGCAATCCGGGGAGTCAATGCCACAGATGAGAAGCAGCGACCCAGTTCGGTGGAGATTGTCCGAACGCTTCGCTCTCTTTCCGAAAGGTTTCCTGCTGGTCAAGATTTCACCAGCATCCAGACGGAGCGGAAGCCTGAAGCTTCAAGCAAACATAGAGCGACTCAGCCGAGTGTGCAAAAGGTACAAAGATCTGTAGCACCACAGGTGCCGACACCCTTTCCTTTGCGAGAAGAAGCAAAGGCACCATTGACACCCAGTCACTGCGAGTCCAGTCAAGTAAGTCCAGTGATTTACAACTTGGATTCACCTTACTTCTTGGAGGTTACGCTGGCAACTGGAAGCTTTGAGCTCTCAGATGAGCAGCGGCGTTTGCCCTTGAAGCCTCTGAGGATGGAAGGCGGTGCCTTCGTCGTAGCTGTGGGTCGTGGGCAGCAACCAGAGCTCTTTGAAGCTTGGCTGCCGGATGGAAAGATGCGCACTTGTGTTTCTCGCAATGCCTTTGAGGTGGCATGGCGGGATGGTGACTACAGCCCGTGGCTTACAGCTCAAGGCAGCGGTCCAGTCGCCTTGGATGGCCAGGCAGTGACCCCAAAGACGGCCTACTCACTGCGGCATGGGGCAGAGATTGGGCTTTTGTACGGTAAGCAGCTGTTGATTAGATTCAAATTCCATGACAATGTGAAAAGCCAACCTGGCCAGGTAGTTCGTAGCTACACAGGTAGCCTGGTCCCTCCTACGCCAGTGATGGGTCATAGGGCCCTTCCTTCGAGCCCATATGCCTACTCTGCAAGGGGCACACGTCGCACAAGAGAGCGAAGTGTGGGTGCAGCATGGGTGGAAAGCGGACATGTTCAGGTCAGAGAGGCTGAAAGTGGAAATGCGAATGTCAATGCTCCTCCAGTTGTCTGCTTGGAGATTTGGGGTGAGAAAGTGCCCGAGAATCGGATAGGCCCAGTGTCTTTAGCTGGAAAGCCTCTACTGGTAGGCTCCAGGCATCAGCCTTTCTTGGAGAAGAGCCTAACAAACATGGTGGATAGAGACCACTTCTGCATTGCCTCTGAGGGTGGTGTCTTTTGGCTTCTATGCCTCACATCCAAAGGCCTTTGGCGGGTGAGGGAAGGCACCGAGCCTCAACGATTGATTTTAGATGATTTGGCATCTTTACAACACGGAGATCTCATCGTGCCGCGCCTAGGGCCGGAGGTCACTGTGGAGCAGTGCTGCCGAACCTTGTCTTGGAATTTCTTGGTGGTGCTGGAACCAAGCTGAAGGATCCAAAGGGGTGGCGGACCCCAGAAAGTACAAAACCTTGACAGGGAAGTCTCACCAGGAATTTATCAGATTTGGATAGATTTAGAATGTCATTCTTTTCGTGCGTAAAGGGTGCCCAAGGCAATCCTTCATGGATCCTGAAGGAAGTGTTTCTGGACACTGACAGTCCATGAGCTTGTTGCCCAAACCTAGTGCAAGAGGCGAACTGGCCAAGATGTGGAATGTGCGTGAACAAGATTTCCTTGCAATTGCTTTGTGCCACTTTCATTTTCCTCGGTGCTTGATTTGCAAAGTTGTTGCTTCTTTGGTGTCAATTCTTCCACCACCTTGGCAAAGACTCTTGGATCAGAGATCCTTGAAATTCATTCATAGTTAGGACCCCTCCGAAGGACAATTCATTCTAATTCCGCTGTGCCAGGTTCATAAAAAGGAAAGGATTCGATGTGTTAGAAATTTGAACTCTTGAAGAGCCAATTGTGTTGAGAGTCGCTTGTTGCTGTGTTGTATTTTCTAGTGTTTTCTTATAGTGCACTGGCCGTGCACTATGGACTCTGCATGTTCCCTGCAATGCCTGACTGCAATGCCTGACTGCAATGCCTGACAGAGTGGTGTGGTGAACATTGGCTTCCATGGACTTGGCCCCGCTGGAGCAAAGACCTTGGCGCAGGCGTGAGGCCAAGTAGACCTGAAGATAGGTGAACTGCTGTTTCACTTCGCAGGTCATCAGTCCCAAGTTAGAGGTGAGGAGCTTGGCAAGCAAATGTTTACTACATTGTACTGCTAGCAAATTGCACCTTTTTTGACGGTTTGTCACTCTTTGATAGTTTTGCCGTGCCTTCGACACAGTCTTCAAGAAGGCACTTGAGCTGGACATCACCGGCAATGGTATTGGACCGGAGGGCGTCAAGGCACAACATGTTGCAGTTGACACCTAGAACACCTCAAAGCTCGTTGTGAGGCCTTGGCAAGCAAGATTCCAAAGAACTTGAAGGCTGTTGAGACCTTTCATCGTCATTAGATTGGAGGCCATCGCTATTAGGTTGGAGGCCATCGCTACTAGGGTGGAGGCTTTCATTTGTCTTTGCAGATCCCTGGTATGGCCTCCGTACGGGTAGGTGCTGAAGTTGAACCTGTCCCGGAATCGCTTGACGCTGGCAGGGGTTGGAGGCTTAAGCTGATTCTGCCACTCAGTCCCTACTTCTTACCATTCAAAGATGCATCCGCTGCGTCAAATTTTGACTGTTGTCTCAGACTTCAGGTCAAAGCCATTGCTGCGTCGATCCCAAAATCTGTTGAGGCCTGGACATGCGGTTGGAAGTAGAGTTTTTCGATTACTTGACCCCTTCGCCGATCCAGCCGATTGCCCCCCTGGAGGTACTTAGCTTGGGATTTTCTGGCATGAAGATGGGCTTCGTGCCCAGTGTGTTGCGATTTTGCTAGAAACTGTTTATGCAAAAACGTGACTTTTGAACCTCAGCGCATCAAAACATTGGTCGAGATATGTCAAGATGTGATCTTGTAGAGTTTGAGGAGCAGCTGGCGCAGCTGCACTGGCAGAAGCGATTCCGCCACAGGCCCCGAATTTGCCGATGGTCAGATGCATTTGAAAGATGTGATTTCCATCCGGTGATGGGAATGATTGCAGATGCCATTGCAGATGCAATGAGGTGAAAGATCTATCATTGGATCTCTTCGGGAACAAAATCGGAGATGACGGGATGGATCTCATCTCCAAGGCTGGGCCAGACCAGAAGGATCTGCGAAGGTAAAGCGGAAGAAAGATCTCGTGTCTCGCTCTTTTGAGAAGATGTCGGCCGAAGGCACTACCCAAATCCTTGGAGTTGCTTCATGTGGTGCTCCAACAGAACGATCTTAGCAGAAGGCTTCGGAATTGTCAATCTGTTCTTGAACTGGATTGTGCGACGTCCCCTTGAGGCAGTTTCCGACCCGTCAAGAGCACGTGAGAGCCTGCCAGGGGGTTCTTCATGCTTGACCGGCAGATTGGAGACCCGCTGAACCAGCGCTTTTTGCCGAAGCTTAAGTGCGACGCCTGAGATTTAGCGCGATTTCAGTTTCCTCATTTCCTAGGATTCCAAGTCGTATGAGATTTGATTTGTCAGATATGCCTGGAGATGTGGTCGTGAGGCCGGAGAACTTTATTAAATCTGGGGAGGTGGACGTCACAGAGTTTAAGGAGGAAGCAGAGCCTTGTTCATCAGTCAAAATGGCGACGCTAGCGGCCCTAGCGGCCAAAATGTCCACATGAGTCTGTAGCCAAGGATGGAACCATTCATCGACAGGTTGAGTGGCAAAGAGTCATTTGACTCCTCCAAGCAGATATTTTTAGAGCTGTATCATCCTATATCTTCCATTTGCTTGAAGGGTTTGCAAAACAAGCTCTGCTGCTGCAGCTTGTGTGAGCTGTTTTGTCTTTGCACTTTATCCCTTTCATTGTATTATTGGGACTCTTCAACAAGAGCTTCTGCGACGAGCTTTGGCGATTTTGCACTGACTAACCCCGCAGCAGTGTCGGCTAAAGAAGTTCACAGCTTCGAGGCATAGTGCCTTGGCTACCTAGTTTCTGGACCCATTGACCAGTTGACTAGCTTGACCATGCTGACGAGGGCTCTGGCGAGCGAAACCTTTGTTATTGAGAGCTCACTCGCTTGTCCGTTAAAACAACAATAAAACAATGAGGTCCAGACATGGACGTTGCCCTTTTCGCCGGAGCCTTAAGGGAAGCAACCTAGGGTGTTTGAAATCATGTGCATTCGATCTGTGGCACACTATCCGCTCCATGTCCAACATAATCAACAGTTGCCATGAGATTGCCCTTGCTTGAAACAACGTTTGAGGCCCAAGATGTTGATCAGCTCTCACAGCTGCTGGGTGAGCCCTGCTCTTAGGTCAGTAAAAGCATGTGAAAGCCACCAAGAGTCTAGCCCGGATGAGCTGGGTTGAGGTTTAATGGTTTGGGTTTTAAAAATTTTGAAGACAAGCCCGCAATGCAAGTCCCTAAACTTTGGCACTGAAGACAGCTCGCGGGAACGGAAGTGTGACACTATTTTAAGGAGAATGGCACATCTTCCTATGTAGTCATTATGTCATAACTTGTATGTTTCAAATATACATTATTCCAATCATTTCTTTCCACACAGAAGCCCGAACTGCAGGCATGGAACATGTTGGCTGTTTCGTTTTCATGATGAGAGCAAATTTTCTAGAAGAGCAGTTTCTACTCCCTCTCCCCTGCTTCGGATAAGTCGATTTAATTTGAACTCGAGCTCGCAGATGTTTTTTTTGCTTTTCCAGTTCTCGCACACGATGCTGAGCTTCCGATGGAAGATGTGGGGCGAGCACTCTGAAGTGAGCCAAGGTGTCACCTCCATGAAGAGAGGGATGCTCTCGCGTGATGTACTCAGATGCATTTGCTTTTTGTTTAAGGGGCTGTGTCCATCTCACTGCTTGCTGCTTTTGTGGGTCAATCTTTCTCTCTCTCTCTCATATTAAGCACAACGCAATCGAATGCTGGCCGAGGCAAGTGATGATGCCGATTGCTAGCTATGCTGGACAGCTGGCCTCAGGCAAGCACTTTTCTTGTTTATTACCAGACGAAAGGTCGCCAGTTGGTTGGTGCAGCGCAGGCCTGCAGTCGCCCTACGCCTCCACAGCGGTGGCAAGTGGGCTTTATGCCGATGAGCTCCTGAGGCGGCTTCAAGGTTGGGTCCGCGTCCACTTTGTTCATTCTTTTGGACGTTCAGGGATGTGTTTTGCAACATCCATTGATGATGAACAGTGGACCTTTGGAGACTGCGGTTTGAACAGTTATTCCCGGTGAGCTTGGAGCATCCCTTCGTTTGGAGGATGCCAATCCTTGGACGAGGGTCGCGCTACCTGTGCTGAAATGATGCTTGGCTCGACAAACGTTTGGAGTCAAAAGCAGCCATTGTGGGAGGTTTATCCTCGTCAAGTTGCTCACATTTGTTTTTCTCTATCTCTCGCTCTCTCTCTCTCTCTTTTCTGCACTTAGGATGACTGCATTCCATCAAGAGCATAGTCAGTGCTTGCCTGAGATGATTAATTTTGGAACCGCAGATAAACATTTCCTTGCACCTCATAGCATACAGCGACCTTTGTGCTGTCACTCTTTGAAGTGCGCTGCGGCCCGAGGCAGCTGCTGCGGCCACGTGTGCCAGCAAAAGCAGTTCCCGCGCAAGAAGCACAGGAAGTGCAAGCTGCAGGCATTGCGGTCCCTTGCGTGTCACAACTACCTTGTAGTGGATGACGAGAAATTCCAACCTTTTCAACAATTGCATCCGCTTGTGCTGGGGTGGGGGATTTCTTAGCATAGAGATTGGAATTGTTGCCAATTCGTCATATAGAGGAGCCACAGCAATAAAACTATGAAAGTTCAAGAGTTGTCTTGCAAATGACGTGTGCTTCTTGCAGGTGTGAATGAGCTACTGGTGAGTTCCCCAGGGCTTCCCCATATGCACGGACTCTTGATGTTTCATCAGATTTCCTCGAGGCCCGACTGCAATCTCTGCAAGGCTCGAGCTGGAGTGTTTTTGCACTACACAAGCCAAGGCCTTGCTTGAGCACCAGGTGCAAACAGAGTAATTGTGCGCGCGCTGCGCATCATGTCGGAGCGCCTGCGAGAACAAGGACGATTGGAGCCAAGGCCGTGAGGCTAACCAAGTCAAAAACACTGGCCTACTGCATACTCATCTCGGTGTGAGTTTGCCTCGCTTCGGGCATGGACCGGTGGACTTGCAGGACAGCGCAGTCGCCAAGCGGAAGAAACAGTTGTTGGATACCCAGAAAAACTGATGTGAACTTGCTCAGAGACAATCCGTAGGTCATGGCCTTGGATATAGTGTCAAGCCCTTCGAACAGCCTTTGAAGGAAAAGAAGAAGGTAAGGACACCCCTAAAAAGTACCTTTTTCCTTTTTTGGCAAGCTGTCTCAGGAACAGTTGAAGTCCGAGCTGCAGGTTCACAGCAAGTGTGGAACTTTTGACGTTGTTCTCCAAACCTACAGGTTCACACTAAAAGGAGAAGAGACAAGTAGGAGGCTGAAATGGGAGTAGGGGGAAAGATGGAAAGAGTGCGTATACTGTGTATATGTAAAAAAAACCGTATACATATACTATATACTATATATATATACATATATTCCATGTGACATGTTGTCACATGTTGTCGCCTGAGCTACGTCCGCGGCCGCGGCCGGTGAGGCGCAAAGCGAACAGCTCCGAGCCTCCGAGAGGGCGAAGGCCCTCTTGCAGTCGCGTGTGGAAGTGCTCCTGCGCGAGGACTTCCAAATGCCCCAGGCGAGGGCGACTATTGTTGTCGGTGTTGTGTCGATGTTCTCCCTCGAAATCCTCTCACGCAGTGCTCTTTGGTCTGATCGCTCAAGAGTTTGAATAGGAATGTTGTGCTGCCAGGGGTGTGGAAGACCATGCAGCTAGTGAAAGCCATTGGCACTCAGATGTGGGTCATGTTGAGTTGAGATCTATATATATATATATATATATTCAAGCTTTAGAATTGTTGCCATTTGCACGTTTTCATTGATATATCATGACCTGCATGTTGACTCGCTTTCTTGCATGATTCGGACAATGCGTACGTACACTCGACTTAAATCAATCTAGCTTGGGCTTGGTTGGTGCTGAACAACCAGAATGAGTAAAGCACTCAGCGGCCAAATGCGAGTGAAGCAACCAACGATGCCCTGACCGGTGGTCTTCTCTTTGGGGCCCGTTTAAAACGGGTGCCAGCGTCGCGGAAACCCCTCCATAGGGAGAGCTTGGCCAGTGCCTTGTTGGAGGAACATGAGAGTATAGAAGCACAACTTGGATCGTTGATCAAGGCAGTGGCACAGGCTAGGGGTGACGTTCGACGTAAAATGTAAGTAAGGGCAGAGAAGTTCCAGACTCCAACGGTTACTCTCAAGAGATACTGCTCTGAAAAGGATTCACATCAAATGGATCGAACCTGTTGTTGATTTTGCAAATAAACAGTGAAGGTTTCAATTCGCAAGCTTGCCATTGTCATTTTAGTATTGAATTGTAAACAGTGGAAAGACATTCAAGTCTTGTCAATTTGACAATTGGCCGAGTTGTCACCCACCTTCCACCACCTAAACCTAAGCTCAGAGTTCGACCAACAATCAATGTAGCATTCCCGTTGCAGCGAAACTTTTCGAGCCAAAAACTGCAGGGCTTGGAAAAGGATCCAGCATCGAGTGTGGCAAGATTGAACTTGTTGACGTTTTCTGGTTTGGCAAATTCAAAATCGTTATTTTGAATTGCATTTTCTTAAAGGTTGTAAAGGAAATTTGACCATCGATCTCTGATCCTGCCCAGGCTTGTACAGTGAATGATGTAAGAGTGTTTCCTGGCCTAAATCACGCATCGTAAAGAATTCTGCCGAATAAGGATTGACTGAAAGGAAATACTTTCATTGGTCGACTATTCGCATCATGCTCTTGTCAGTTGCGCGTTCAGCACCGAGCTGACCATTGACCGGCAGCTCACAGTGCTCCGAGCCCAGCGTAGGAATACCAATAAAAACATATTAAATATCAATATTAATATATTGGATATATTTAAATGTATATATAAACTATTTATATCCTTACTTTACTTCGAGTGATCCCCACCATGACATTTCAAAACAGCCACGTTGACATCACCCTCGTTGTGTATTTCAGCCCATAGCACAAGTCCTTCAGCGCCAAGTCTTACTGTTTTGTCCGAAGCGAATGCTTTCATCAGGAGACCTGTGCCCAACTAATAATACAACTCAGATCATTTCAGTAGTAGTCGTACTGGGCGGCCCAAAGCTGGGAAACTTCCGGGGCCCGAGCAGTAGTAGCAGCAGTAGTAGCTCCGGTAGTAGTAGAAATAGCAGCGCACAGATCGGGGCCCGACCTTCGGGGCCCGAACCTTGGAAACTTCCGGGGCCGTAGTAGGAGTAGTGGTGGTACTACTACTACTACTACTACTACGACTACTACTACCACTACTACCACTACTACTACTACTACCACTACTTCTACTTCTACTACTACTACTACAGTGCTACAGTAGTAGTAGTACTAGTACTAGTACTAGTAATAATAGTAGTATTATTGTTATTACTATAATTGTAAAAACACTAATTATATACTACAATTATTAATAGTAGTAGTGGTAGTGGTAGTAGTACTAACAGTAGTAGGTTGTGTGTTTGTGGCTGTGTGTTTGTGATTGTGTGTTTGTGGATGTG